CTAAAAATAGGAAATTATTATTTTTTATTATTGCTTAATTAAAACACAGTAAGATACACGTAATTAATTTTTCAAAATGTTTTAAAAGTAATTCGTAATATTAATATAAAAAACTCAAAATGAAATATTTAAAATTTAAATTAATGTTAAAATTTAAAGTCAGAGTATTTAGATAAATAATTTAAAAAATGTTTAATATCATCAAACTATAAAGTTAAGTGAAAATAATGATGGTATTGTAAAAGAAACCGTAGGTATATTGTAATATACGAAAGAATATATCACACCAGAGGATCAAATTGGATACGGAAAATATAGAATCAGAACTAAAACAGAAAAGAATTTGAAAATGTCAAATGTATACTGAACTACAAGTATAGATAATGCAGTAAATTCTTTGTGTAAATAAATAATAGTTTCCCTAAAGAGTTTGATCCAAAAACCGTAACTATCACAATGACTTTTTATGTGCTAACTACAGAGCTTGCTAAAATGTTTTTATAAAAAATATACAAAAATATACATATTTGAATTAGCTTTTCTAATAATAATAATAACATTAAACATAATGTGGCTTGTAGATCAGCCCTAACAATTAATAATCTTTATTCGAAGATAAAAGATAAGACTCCCATAGATAGGCTTAGTAATATTGTCTACAACATTCCATGCCTCTCTTGCAACAATTCCTACATCGGCCAAACATCTCAATTATTAAAATCACGTATTACACTACACAAAAGTGATTCTCGACTTCACCCTGACCGCTGTGCATTAGCCAAACATGTTCATTTCACTGGTCATCACATGGACTATACGAACACTACAATTCTCCACCGTGAGAGCAATAAATCTAAAAGAGGGTTCATTGAAATGTCTTATATTTTCCTTAACGATTTTTCCATCAATGTTAAGAGTGACATTAAGAATCTAAGCGATATATACCACGTCTTACTTAAATCAGATACCAAGAACAATACAACATCACAGATAACCAACTTGACTGATATATCTATTAACAACTAACCTACTTTAATAATAATTTTCATTAACAAAAAAAGATAACATTCCCTTGCTTTTCTTAGATACATCTCAATAAGATATTATTACAATAATACATGAACAATATACTAATTAAAAAAAAGAATTTCAATTAGAAATTCTAAACTAATATCTCCCCAGACTGGGATCTAACTTCATCGGTTTTACCAATGAACCTTAACGACATTGATATCAAAAGAACTACTTGTAATTGTTTCGGCGCTTGCGTTCTATGAAAACAGAAGCTCACATTCAAACTTTACAACAATTAAAAATTTAGTTATTGCCGACAATTCAAAGAATTACTTCCTTTAAATGTAGTTACATTGGGTTTTTCGATTGTCCTTGGGTAAACCTTTGCGTTTTAAGTTCAAAGCTACCATACATTTCCAACGTTCACAAATAAACTTTTTTGCACATAGTAACAAAAAAAACACCACTATGTTGTTACTAGCTAAAGTTTTTTAACATCATAACTCGACATTTCTAAAATTTCACGGTAAGGTAAATGTTTTTTATTAGATAATATATGGTAGCTAATTATAATTTATTCTCTTTCAGCCCTGAAGAAGCCAAATTCTCTTTGGCGAAAACGTTAGGTGAAATAATTGATACACATTAGAGTTTTTTTTGCAGATTTCCCCAATATTTAAGAGTTTACTATTTAACTTATCTGCAAAGATTAAATTTCTTTTCTCTCTCTCTCATATATATATATATATATATATATATATATATATATATATATATATATATATATTATTATATATATATATGGTTAGTCTTCGTAAGTGGGTATATTTATTTAAAAACCCTTAAAAGGGCACAAAAAAACAAACGTTTTCGGACTAAACAGTCCATCATCAGGTTTAAAATCGCTAGGTTAAAATGCCTGAGCCACCAAAAATACATGGGTAAAAACCCTTTAAATTACATATAGTTATAAAAGATTATACATCTTGTTGTTAAAAAACTGTGATGTTCAGTAATAAATTAAATATGACTTCAGGTAACATACATTGCAAAAATTGAGTTCCAGAGCCGGGGAGAAAACATCTACGCTGGAAACAGTTTCCAGCTGTTCTCCGTGCGTAGAGGTTTTCTCCCCGGCTCTAGAACTTAATTTTTGCAATGTATGTTACCTGAAGTCATATTTAATTTATTACTGAACATCACAGTTTTTTAACAACAATTGTATTTTTGGTGGCTCAGGCATTTTAACCTAGCGATTTTAAACCTGATGATGGACTGTTTAGTCCGAAAACGTTTGTTTTTTTTATGTAGCCCTTTTAAGGGTTTTTAAATAAATATACCCACTTACGAAGACTAACCTCTTTTTTTGTGATACGTGGTATACAGCCAGCTACAGGCTGGCTGTATACCACTTATATATAATATATATATATTATATATATATATATATAATATATATATATATATATATATATATATATATATATAATATATATATATATATATATATATAAATATATATATATATATATATATATATATATATAGATATATATATATATATATATATATATATGTATATATATATATATATATATATATTATATATATTATATAAATATATATTTTATATATAGGTTTTTTAATAATACTATAATTTTCTAATATTGGATTTTCTGGCTAAAAATACTATAATTTCAAAAAATTTAAATATTCATATTTAGCGCCACTTTGTACGTAACCATAATAACACTCGAGAGCTAGTTATCAACAACAATATATATAATAAACAGAAACGAGTGTCTTTCTGACATAAATCAAACATCAATATAAAAATCAATGTCATAATGAATTTATACAAAATTAAAATATTATACTTACATAAATATATAATTTTTTGTCAAATAAACGTCAAATCGAAAGGCGCATTATTTTGAATCTCTTACAAAAAATATCAATTTTAAAGGTTTTTTCTTCACTATTACGATATTACTTGCAGTGGTAAAGACACATTAAACTAGTGGTCTGTAAGAAAGTGTATATTTCGTGTATAGGTAGTTTAATCTTAAACAAAAACGACATGGAAGAAATTCCACCGAAACCTCCAGATAGAGGGAAATTTTATATAGAATTCGGAGAAGATAGAACGATGGAATTTGAAAAATTAAAAAAAAAATAGCAACATTACAATAAATAAGGTAACAAACGAAAAAAGTCAAACAACTAGCACTAACGAGGTGGGTAACCAATTTGATTTTAATAACGATGCTTTGACACAATTTAATAAAATAGATAGATCAGGTAATCCAAATTTAAATAAAGTTATAAATTTAAGATTAAATAATAGATATAAATTACGAGATAGTGCACCATATATAGTACATATAGAAAATAAAAACGGTAATATCGGCAAATTACACAGGATAGGCACGGCCCGATTAATTTTACGTACAGTACCTGAAATTGAATATAATATCACACAAATTACGGTTGTTGGTAGGAATAAAATTAAGGTAGAACTTAATAATTTTACTAGTGCTAATAAATTAATTAAATCTGATAATTTAAAAAGCAAATAGTACGAGGCATATATTCCAACGTTTTTTACCCAAAGAAAAGGAGTTATAAAATCTGTAGATAAAGAGATAGAAGAGGATGATTTGTTATCATTAATTCATCCTAGTTTGGAATGAGGTTTGAAGTCTTACATGTAAAAAGAATAATACGGAAAGTGGTACAAGAAAATGGATCAACTATCTATGTAAAAACTGGAACTGTAATAGTAACGTCTAAAGGTCAGTCTATACCTACCAACGTAGTAATAGAAAAAATGATATAAGAGGTTGAAAATTACACACCCAGAATGCTACAATGTTTAAAGTGCTTGAGATTTGGGCATATACGTGCTCAATGTAGGGGAAAAGATAGGTGTAAAAGATGCGGTGAAGAACATAATAAATCAAAATGTTCCAATCCTAACAATCTATTTTGTGTATTGTGCAAAGGAAAACATAGCCTTACTGACAAGGGAGCAAATTGTACGGAAATGGAAAAACATGAGTATATTAAAAAGATTATGAATGAAAATAAAACATATTACGAAGTTAATAATAAATATAGAAAATATTATTTAACAGTAAGTAAAGAACAAGAAAGTACTTCCAATAAATATACAATCTATAAACGAAAACGATCAAGTAGTATTAATTCTAGTAACGTAGACAGAGAGATAATGGAAGCGCACAGAAAAATCTTGCAAACTCCAAAAGTACAAAGTCAGCCTTGTTATAATTTTAAAAAGCCTATTTATCATAATTAAACACAGATACAAAACGATAATCAAAGTAATATAGGAGAAATTATAGTAAACTTTATTTCAACAACTTTAAATCAAATTAATCACAATTTAGATGAAAAAACGTTAGAAGTACTGAAAAACAATATTTTACAATTATTATTAAATCGTGATGGCTAATATATCATTTCTTCAATGGAATGCAAGGTCAATTAAAACAAATAAGGGTTATTTAGAAAAAATTTTATGACAATAAAATAGAAATAGGACTAATATCAGAAACATGCTTAAAGAAAAGTAACTTTATTAAGTTTACTGGTTATAATATCTTTAGGAATGATAGGGGTGATGGATATGGTGGTGTGGCCATACTATTGAAAAAAAAAATTAATTTTTATAATACTCCTACTTTTCATCCAATCAATGACGTAATGTGTAATAGCTATCAATTAAAATTAAAACCGGTAAAAAGATTAACATTTATTCTATTTATGTAAAACCAAATCTCAAAATTACGGTAAATGAATGGAAAAAGTTTTTTAATAGTATGGAGAAGCCTTTTATAATTGGTGCTGATTTTAATAGCCACAGTTACGTTAGGGGTTGTAGTACTGTAGACACTATAGGAAAAAATCTGTTAGAAGCTATTGAGGACTGTAATCTCGTACTTTTAAATAACGGCAAAGAAACT